TCTCCCTCTCCCACTCCCCTGCTTGTGTTCCTGCTCTCGCTATCTCTCTCTCTGTCAAATAAATAAATAAAATCTTTAAAAAAAAAAAAAAAAGAAATTAAGGTCTTACTTAGACCCCACTGGCCTTTCCCTCATGCCTCCCTGAGGCTAAAAAGTCAGAGATTCAAACAGGATGAAATGGGGTTGGAGGCCAAGAAGTGATGTGTCCTTCAGCCCACGCCCTGCTGTCTCTCCTCAATGATTCCCCTCGGCTTTCAGATGCCAGCCCCCCTTTCCAAATGCTCATCTCTTCTCCCAGCCAAGTGCACCCCGCCCCCCCCCTTGCCTTATCCCTCAAGCCTACCCCTCTCCTAAGGACATCAATATCCTTTTCTCTCCGCTCCCCAAGCTCCTCTGGCCCTCCCTCCACCCCTTAGGGCAACGATAAGCCGAGACTTTTGAGTTACTCTCTCCAGGGCCCCTTCTCTTCCCAGGCCTTGGCCTCCCAGCACTGTGGTCCAACCCTACCTCCGCTCCGCCCCCCTCATCCGGCAACCACAAAGCCAGACCTCTCCTTATACAGAAGGGTCCCGACCTTTCCTAAGGCCTTGGCCTAGACCTGGACCAGACCACTGACCTCTCTGCCCCACCTCCGTCCAGAGGGATCCTCCCCCCACATCGTCTAAAGCCGACCCCACTTCTCCCTCTCCTTAAACCTTTCCCCGGCCCCGCCTCCTAGCGTCTGGCCCCGCCCGCTAACAAACTTTGCCCCGTCCCCACCCCCTTCCAGGTGGGCCTGTCTCCCCGCCCACCCAATTTCCGATGGCCCCGCCCACCGAGCCCCCGGGGGACTTCCGTGACCACGCCCCTCGTGGTAGCCCCGCCTCCCAGGCCTCTCCTTAAACCCTGTCGGGTCCTACTGACTCTGGCCCTCGACTACCCTCTACCTGGCCCTCTCCTTCTGGCGGACGCCCCCCGGTGCCCCGTAGGGACCCGCTGCCGGCGCTCTCCCTTCCCCGCCGCTCTCTCGGCCGCCTGAGCGTCCCCCACGCCCGCTCCCCTGCAGCCGACCGACCCGGCGGAGCCGTGGGCCCGGAGCGTACGACACGCGCGCCACCCCCCAGTTTCCCAGCCCCGCGTCGGCGGCCCCACCTGCCTCTCGCCAGCCCCGCGTGTCACTGTCCTGCGCGTCACACCCGGAACCGCTCGGCGCCCGACCGCAGCCCTCAATTCGCGCCACGGAATTCGCGCGCAGACTTTGGCGGGCGGGGGCGGGGCCGTAACGAGGGGCGGGGCCCGGGCGTCGTCCGCGCCGCCGCTGCCTCCCGGAGGACGCTGGGAGTCGTAGTCTCCCGGACGGGAGGCTACGAGGAAAGGGGTGAAGTAGGGTGAGCCCTCCCGCAGGGCACTGTGGGAAACGGTCCGCGCCTTCCCTCGCTCTGGGTGGGCGGGTGTAGCTGCGGGTCTGAGAAGTGACTGGCGGGGAAAGAGGGAGATTCGGTGGAAGCCGCTGCGCGAGGCACGGCGGGAAGAGAGGCGGGAGGCCGCGCGGGGCATCCCGGGAGCAAGGGCCGGGCCTGGCCTCGGCGCGAAGCATTGTGGGAGGTGGACGCCGCTCCGGGGCGGGTAGGTGAGTGGGGAGGGGCGGGAAGGGTGCACATCTGGGGGAGGGGAGAGGCACAGCTGGGTGGGACAGCGGAGATGGGAGGGCCCGCGGCAGGAGGGGCTGGGAGGGCTTGGGGAGGCGGAAGCGGGTTGGGAGGGGCTGCACGGGGGCGGGGGGGGCGCAGCTGGACGTGGGGGAGCATCTGGGGTGATGAAGCCCATCTGAGGACGAGGGGCCATGTCTAGAACCAGAATGCACATCTGGGGAGTACAATAGCTGCAAATGGGAGGAGGGAGCTACAGCTGGACTGGGGGGCGCGTCTGGGCAGGAGGTGGGCACAGACAAGTATTGGTGACACTTCTGAGAATTGGCCACAAGTGAATGAGGCACACACTTGTGGGCGAAAAGTACATGTTGGATGTGAGAAGGACATCTGGATATGGGAGCCTCTCGGAGGTAGGGGCTACAGCTGGATGTGACGACCCATGGGGTCACATCTGGGGCAACAGCTTTATATCGGAGACACATCCAGGGAGGAGGGAGCCACAGGTGCGTGAAGAATATGACTGGGGATGAGGGGTCCATGACTGGATGCGGGAGCACATCTGGACATGGAACATCTTTAGAAGAGGGCAAAAATGGATGTGAGTTACAGCCAAGTGTAGACACGTAGAAGGGGGGTTTCATATGAATGGGGGCATTAGAGGTTATGGCCAAGTATAGGAGATATATCCGGAGGGGGGAGGAGGTCTTAGCTGGAAGTTGGGAATACATTGGAGGTGTCCACCACTGAACTTAAGGGTTATATTTTGGGAGAGGGACCCCAACTGTACCTAGGGGCACATCTACAGAGGGGGCCAGAGCTGAAATTAGGGATCAGGATGACAGGCTCCAGCTGTCCCAGGAATAATGCAGAAATGGGAGAAAGCCAAAGATGGAGTGTAGATTCATATCTAGATATTAACGGGGGTGCATCCCGCCCTGGGCCCCACCTAGAAAGAGGCACCAGGACCAAAGAGGCAGGCGGAAAATGGAGGAAGTGGGATACCCCTGGTGGGGATGGGTCTGATATCCACATGACCTCCCTTCCACTCAGGCGCCCCAGGATGGAGTCCCCACCCAGCACGGCGGGGCAGGAGGAGCAGGAGCTGCGGGAGCGTGCCTTCTTCTCATGGGCCGAGTTCAGCCGCTTCTTCGACGCGTGGTGCCAGCAGCGGCTGGCGCTCTTCTTCGTCAAGAGCTCCATGCACCTGGCGCGCTGCCGCTGGGCCAGCGCGCCCCCGCTCTACACGCTCATCGATGTGCTCAAGTACAGCTACGTGCGGCTCGTGTGCAAGGACGTGCGCGCGCCCAGCCGGCCCACCGTGGGGTGCGTGAGCTGAGCCGTGCCCTGCTGGGGGGTGCTGGGGGGGAGGGGGAGGAGTAGGCAGAGAGCCCCCCACCAAGAGATGGGGAGGGAGAGATGCCTACCAAAATAGCTAAGTACACCTTGCAGAGAAGCCAAGACAGTCCCAGAGAAAGGCAGACAGCCAGTGAGCTGGAAGTACAAAGGCATGCACAGTGAGTGACAGGGCGGGCTCCAATTACAGACTTTAATAGGGACTTAGAGAGAGGCAGAGAGTGAGATGGACACATTGGAGAAAGCCAAAAAAAAAAAAAAAAGACAAAATATTCCAGAAACATGGAGACATGGAGCCAGAGACTCCAGCCAGAACCAGAAAAATGGGTGAAAGCCAGGTTTGGGACACCTACAAAGAGGTCAGAGACAGAGCTGCAGAGTAAACCACAGGACAAAGAGAGAAAGACCCATCTGTTGATTCAGTAAATACAGGGCCAGGTCCCACATGGGGGCTAAAGATACTTCATTGGGGTGAGAAGGTGTTGAGCAGGATAGACAAATCCCCTGCCCTCCTGGCATGTTCAGACTGAACAGGAAGGCTGACATTATATGAACAAGCTCACAAATAAGCTCCCTATAAGTGTAACACTACAAGGGGCAAATGAAAAATCCATGAGAGAGCTAGGAGATACACTCAGCTGGCCAAGGAAGTTTTAATCGCGCCCCTCCCCCCACCCCCAGTCTTAAACCAGAGCCCTCTCCATAAAATGTTCGGTTTCCGGCTTTTCTTGAAACATGGGAAGAGGCTGAGCCCACGTTCTTGTGTGGCAGACGGCCACTGCAGTTAGATGGGGCATTGGAGCTCAGGTTTGCCCCAGACCCCACCGCTCCCTGTTACCTCACACTTAGCCCTGCCACTTCCGTGTTTCGCCTGCCTGGTCTCTATAGGTGCGCATGAGTTTCAGACCGTTGGTTGGAGAGCCATGGGCAAGAACGGGGCGCTTAAAATCAGGCTCTGCCTTCAGGCCGCTTGAGACTGGCCCCAGCACTTCCGGGGTGGGTGTCTTTGGGCAACAGACATCACATCTCTGAGTGGGGTTTCTCCTCTCTGAAATGGGGTTCTCGCAGAGCTGTTGGAAGGTTACCGTGAGACCAAGCACAGGGAGGCACTTCCCCGGTGCCTGGAACGTGGGGCGGCTGGGTAAATGACAGCTGTTCTGCAAGTCAAGAGCACAAACTCGGGAGCCGCCAGGCTTGCCTCAAGCCCCAGGCCTGCTGGGATTAGCCAGGGACACTGAGCAAGTGACATCACCTTTCTGGGTCTCAGTTTCCTGACTTGGAAAATGGAGGAAGTGATGGTAATGACCGATCCCAGGTTTTGTGAGGATTAAATGAGCTGATACATGCAAATCGCCCTTCGAACAGAGATTCTCACCGTAGTCACTGAAACATTTATTGAGAGATTACTGTTCTTGGTAGTTTACTCCCTGCTTATCTAGAAACAGAGACTCAGAGGTCAGGAAGCAGAACAGGATCAAACACACACATCATCACAGAGAAATCTAGAACGTTTGAGCTTGTGAGTGGCTTAGGCCCAATCTGGACTCTCTCTTTGTTAACAAAACCCAATTCGAAGTAACAAACACTTATTGAGCACCTACTGTGTGCATGCTCTTTGCTGGGCATTTGGAGCCTGCTGCTCTTGAGCAGCTGAGAACCTAATAGAGGAGAAAAAGACCAAAAAAAAAAAAAAAAATTGGAAATCAGGGCTCACAATTGTGAGAGAGAAGAAGTTAGAGAGTGGGAGGGAGGAGGGAAAAGAGGAGTGGTCAGCTCAGCTCCACCTGAGAGCTTACAGGGTGCTTCTGGAAGGCTTCCTGGAAGAGGTGACCAGTAAATGGAAACTTGAAGGATTCTCTTTGTTTATACATTTATATATGTATGTATTTGACTTAAACACATGGCACTGGCTATGTGCAGGCACTGTCCCCAGTGCTCTGCAATTATCAGAGGGAGACAGAAGGGGCTGAGAGCAGGGGCAGCTCTGGGGTAGGATGATCCCTCCCGGGGCCTTGTCGGGGACAGACTGGAGGAGAGAGACGGGAGGCCAGCCAGGAGGCTGGGGTCAAGGGGCCTGAGAACACACCTCAGAGCTTTCTCCCTGGCCACTCCAGCCCCCTTCCCCAGACGTTGCCCTGCAACCTCCCCCAAATCACCATCCCGCCTCTTCCCCCTCCGGCTCCAGCTCTCTGCTCTGCACAACCCCCAGCCTCTCTCAGCGCTTCCCTCTCTAGAATACACACACCAGCCTTTGAAAACACAAAGAGCTTGAGAACCTGAAAGATCAAGAAGACATGGGTACATGGAGAGCAAAACAGCCCAAAGCGATGGTACTTTTAGAAGAAGAAAAATGGGGGAAATAGCAGGCTCGTTTTTATTAAGTGCTTACTGTGCCCCAGCCCCTTGTCTAACTACTTTGCATAACATAATCCTCTTCTGTACTCTCGATGAACCTACGAGGTGGTATTCTTATTAGCCCTAATTGCTACATGAGAAAATGAGCACAGAGAGGTTAAAGGAATTTCCCAAGATAACCCAGCTGCCAAGAGGGGGAAACCAGGATCAGGACCCACACAGTTTGACCACAAAGCCCATGTTTTTGGTCCCCTCTCTCTTCCCTCCCCTACCCCTCATCTTTATTTCAATCATAGATTATTGATATGAGAGTCAAATGTGGTCCTAGGTGCCATGCTGTTTGTCCATCCGAGAGCTTTGTTTCAAGCACCTGCTATGTGCAAGGGTGAATGTGTTTTTAGATCACGGGAGTTTCAGTGGAAGAGCACCCCATTCAGTGAAGAGCATGCATTACAGATGGGCATCCATCAGATCCTCACCCCAATGTGTGGGATGAAATCTGCCTGGGGATGGTCAGAGAAGGCTTCCTGGAGGAGGTGACGCTGGTTCTGAGTTGTGAAGGAGGAATAGGAGCTAACTAGAGGAAAAGAAGGGAGAAGGATGTTTCATGAAGAAGGAAAGAACTGAGTAGGGTTGCTGGCAGTGGGAATGGGGAAACGTGGATGGTCTGATGAGTTTTAAGGCATGATAGGCAGGCCTGGGTGCTGAGTGGCCTGATGTAATGAGCGCAGTGCCTGGGTGCCTGGGGTTCCTACAGCGAGATTCTGTCATTCCTCATCATCTATTTACTGAGCGCCTCCCAGGGGCCAGGGGCTGTTCTCAGTGCTGGGACCATAGCAGTAGGCAAAACAGATTCCTGCCCACATGGAGTTCATATGTAGAGGTGGGTGGCATTCTTCTCCCCAGCTGGGTGTAGAGAAATGCAAAAATAGTGTGCTGAGGCCACAGTAGACAGTTATGTGAGGTACAGGGACCCCAGGGGATGTGCTATTCTCTGGCAAGATGCACAGCTTCCCAGAGGTGTGGCCTCCCCTGAGTGGGGGCTTGTTCTAAGGGCTGAACCAAAAGAGTCAGCCAAAAGAGGCCAGGCCAGAGAGTTTCACAAGAGCCCGCGAGTTAGCCAGGGGAAACGTGTCAGGTAGAGCCCTGTGAACGGGCCACGGTTTTGGTAAATCAAAAATGGCTGCATGTCGGAAATGTCTTTTGGTTCCACCTAACACCTCTAGGGTGGCTCCACATTTGTATTTTATTTATAATGATTTGGAGACTTAGACTTTTTCTAATTTCGCATTATTTTTGTTGCTTTAAATAAGGCAAAAAGTCTCAAGCTTTTTATGTAGATTTAAAAAACCTAGCAGGCTCCTGGTTTTCCTTTACCTCCTGCATGGAGCAGAAAAGGGACGTGTCAAGGATCCCCTTCTGGTTTAACAAAGACAGTTCTTAAGTATTTATACTGGAGAGTGTCGGGGTAGGTTCTGGGGAGGCTCACCCTTCTCTGGGGCCATTTGGAAACAATTTAGGAGCATTTTAGGGCATGCTACTCATTTACTGCCTGTGAGTCACCCTTCTTAATTACTTGCCAAGCCCTGGACAATCTATGTTACAAGGGCTGACAAGCTGTGAGGACCTTGGGCCAAATCCACCCTGCAGCTGTGTTTTGGTTTTTTGTTTGTTTAAGATTTTATTTTATTTATTTGACAGAGAGAGACACAGCGAGAGAGGGAACACAAGCAGGGGCGAGTGGGAGAGGGAGAAGCAGGCTTCCCGCAGAGC